CCGACCGCCGCCCCCCACTCACCGCCTGGGATGCGGGGACCCCCCCGCCGCCTCCTCCGCCGCTGCCCCGCCGCCCCGTCCCGCCGCCCCGCCGTCCCGGCATCTCTCCGGGGCCGGTCCGCCTCGGGAGCGGAGCCCAAGCGAGTGAGCGGAGACCCCGCTGCCGGTTTTTTTCCCCCTCCCCACCAGCCCTCCCCGCCGGGGGAGGGAGGAGTCGCTGCCTCCCCTGGCAGCCCAAGGCGAGGGGACCGCCAATATGCAGAGATGAGAGCTGACAGAGACCGGGTTCCCCCTCTTCTCGCCCTAAAAGGGGGTCAAAAATCAATAGGCGTAGGGAGAAATGAAGGAAAAAGTGGCTTACAAAGAAAAGACCCTTCGCAACTGCTTGTTCATTAACGGCGCAGTAATTATTACTGAGACAGCAGGGCAGGTGTGGATGTAGAATCACAGAATCATAGAGTTGTCTAGGTTGGAAGGGACCTTTACGATCATGGAGTCCAACCATCAACCTAACACTGACAAAACCACCACTAAACCACATCCCTAAGCTCCACATCCACCCATCTTTCAACTGCCTCCAGGGATGGAGATTCCACCACTTCCCTAGGCAGCCTGCTCCAATGTTTGATATCCCTTTCAGTGATCCACATCTACCCATCTTTCAACTGCCTCCAGGGATGGAGATTCCACCACTTCCCTAGGCAGCCTGCTCCAATGTTTGATATCCCTTTCAGTGAAGAATTTTTCCTAATATCCAATGTAAATCTCCCTTGGCATAACTTGAGGCCATTTTCTCTTGTCCTATCACTTATTACTTGGGAGAAGAGATCGAGCACCTCTCTTACGAGGAAAGGCTGAGGGAGTTGGGTGTTTTTAGTCTGGAGAATGAAAGGCTGAGGGGGGATCTGAACAACACCTATAAATACTTAAAGGGTGGGTGTCAAGAGGATGGGGCCAGTCTTTTTTCAGTGACAGGACAAGAGGAAATGGGCACAAACTTGTACACAGGAAGTTCCATCTAAACACGAGGAGGAACTTTCTCACTTTGAGGGTGGCAGAGCCCTGGAAGAGGCTGCCCAGAGAGGTGGTGGAGTCTCCATCTCTGGAGACATCCAAAACCCGCTTAGACACGTTCCTGTGCAAACTGCTCTAGGTGGACTTGCTCCGGCAGGGGGGTTGGACCAGATGATCTTCAGAGGTCCCTTCTAACGCCATATCATTCTGTGATTCTGTGACTCCCACCTCCCTAAAACCTTCTTTCAAGTATGTATGTAACACTGTAGAGTGTTGGAAATGAGCACTGCTGCTGAGGAACTGGCAGCCCAAATCTGAATCCATCAGGATGCACAAATGAAGGATGGGGCCAAAGGACAGTGACCCCTACCTCCCTAAAACCTCCTTTCAGGTATGTGTGTAACACTGTAGAGTGTCAGAAATAATGAGCACTGCTGCTGGGGAACTGGCAGCCCAAATTTGAGTCCATCAGGCATGCACAAATGAAGGATGGGGCCAAAGGACATTAGGAATATCTGTGTCGCCAATGGCCTGGAGATAAAGGCTCTATAATGCACTCATCATCCCTTCAAAGTGTCCAGTTCAGTTTGGAAAACACATCCTCAGCATCCTCCTGGACACGGGTTTGGGGAATCCCCCTTTTAACCCTGGGAAGAATTGCACAGTGCTCTTAAACAACTGGGACTGATTTTCTACTACAACACACTCCATCTTCTTATTGCAATCTAAGTGACCCAAGCACAGGGGAGCTTTACCAGTTCAAAGCGGGCTATTTCTTTTACAGACTTGCCTGTACTTAACTCATATTTTACAAGCGACCTGCTCTCACTGTGCTGTGCTGCTCAGCAGCTGGAGATAAAGTTGAAGGATTTGTTTCAAGTAATGATGAATTGCCTCCAGATGGGACACTACCTCTTGCAGTCCGGGTTACGGCGTTCAAGCTAGGAAAAAGCACAGGAGCTACTCTTTCCCATGAGAAGGACGAGTAAGCATGCTGTCAAACGTGGGCTGGTTAATAAGAGCTCCAGTTTGTCCTTGAGGAGGGGGAGGGATGAATTATCATGTCCCTGACTCTCCACAAAGCACTCCTTAGGGAAAAAAATAAAAAAAAAGACAAAATATAGCACCTTTCAATATCACTCAGATCCCTTCAAAGGACAGGTGGATACAGATTCCCACAAAAGTTGCATCTAATCACAGCAGTTCTGTCCTTGCTTGTGCACAGCCATACAGCAAATCAGCCACCTCAATCTGTCAGTATTACCCTCCTTTTCCCAGCTCTGTGTCATCCAGGGAATTCTGGGGGCTTTTTGATTTGTTTGGGGTTTGGTTTTTTTTTTTTCTTTCCTCTTGTATTTTTTCAGCTTCATTGCTGAGCACATCTCTTGTATAAAATATTAATAAACCTTCCTTCCAAGGTGCTGGGTTCCCTCCGTGACACCCTCTGGCAGCCTGTGAAAATCAAGGGGGGAGTTACAGGAGGTTTGGCATCGTCAGTGCGACTGTTGTGAAGGCTCAGTGAAGCCCTTCAGGACACGATGAACACGGGCCAGCTTTTGGGGAAGCTGCAATATGTTCCCAGACAACGTGATCGGGAGTGACTGATTTCTACATTTACATATTTGTTTATTATTTGATATTAGCTCAAGTTGGGCAGGTAACATTATGGCTTGAGACCTTCAGAGAAGCAAGACACATCACTATTTTCTGCCTATTGTTGTTTAGGTCAGAAACGTTTTCTGGATCACTGCAGAGGGAAGAAATGTTTTCTATGTTCACATAATGCCTCAGCCAGGACCTATCTGCATGTAAAATACTGGAGAATTTTGGAAGGTGGTAACTGAACACAACTGTGAAAGAAAATGAAAATCAGACTGGCAAACGTGGTCATCTTATTTCTTATCATTCATGTTTCTTTTGGTGCTTATGCTAAAAAAAAACAGCCCATGTTTTGCTCTGTACAAAGCCTCATACATGTCAGCGGTGTAAGATTAACTGTGATGCCTAATTAAAACAGGCAGTCACCAATTAAGATAATAAAAAAAGTGCTATTTGAAATGCATAAGAGACTGAGAAGTTAAAGAGACACTTATCTTATCCAAGAGCTTAGCAGGCTTTCATTTGCAGATACTTAAGAAAGGGGAAAAAAAAAAAAAAAAAGGTGAAAACGCACTCTGGAACATCGCCCAGGAAAATCAGAAAATCAGAGAGGAGCCTGCGAGCTCCTGCCATGCTTCATTACTACAGTGCCTGCTGCCAGCCAGCCCGTTTGCTTTTGCACTCCATCTGCCACGTCTTGTACATACTGAGATCCAGGCTCTGCGACCATCGCTCCTGCTGACAGTTGTCCCCATCGGGTGTCCCCAGGGACCACCTGAACGGTACACCTGGGTGTTCCTTGGGGCAGGGACAGCATTTCACTGACATTCAGTCCATGTTGCTCGCTTTTACCCCCCTGGGAGCTCTATGCCACACAGTAATTATAATAATAATAGTAGTAGTAATAATAATAATAATCAGAAGAAGAAGTACCAGATGAAGAGGAAGAAGAAATTCAAGGAATTGACAGCAATTTGAAGACGAAGAAGAAATTCAAGGAATTGACAGCAATTCTCCAACCTGAAGTTCATTCCAAATTTATTTTTACCATCTGAAAAGCTGACTCGGTCTTCTTTGCCTGCTGTTTGCTCCCGGGGAGGACAGGTGTATGTTCGGGTATATAAACACGTGTACAAAGCCTGAGAGCACGTATGTGCCCCTGAGTCTGGTAGGTTAATCAGCTGCCAGGCGCCCACCCAGATGCTTTCTCACTCCCCCTCCTCAGGAGGAGAAAATAAGATGAAAAAAAAAAAGCCCCACCTCGTGGGTCCAGATAAAAACAGCTTAATAAGAAATGCAGAAGCTGTGGGTGCAAGCGAAGGAAAAAGAGGAATTAATTCACAAGTTCCCATTGATGGGCAGACGTCCAGCCACTCCCTGGGAAGCAGAGTCTCAGCACACTTAATGGTTGCATGGGAAGATAAATCTCATAACCAGAAATGTCCCCCTTTCCTCCTCCTTTTCCTGAGGTTTTTTTTTTTGCTGAGCACGACATCATGTGGTGGGGAATATCCCTTCAGTCAGTGGGGTCAGCTGTTCTGGCTGTGTCCCCTCCGGTCAGTGGGGTCAGCTGTCCTGGCTGTGTCCCCTCCCAGCCTCTTGCTCACCTAGTCTTGCCCTACTCAGTTTTGGAGGTGCAGGGAAGGGAGAGAAAGAGAAAAAGATAGAAAGCCTTGACACGGTGCAAGCATTGTTCAGCAGTGGTGTGTTATCAACGCTGTTCTAGGCCCAAACGCAAAGCACAGCACCACACAGGCCGCGATGGGGAAAGTTACCTTTCTAACTTCATCCTAGAGACCCAGCACATCCTCCATCCCTTATTCCCTACCAGAGTGGTGAGACACTGGAACAGGTTGCTCAGAAAAGTTGTGGCTGCCCCATCCCTGGAGGGGTTCAAGGCCAGGCTGGATGGGGCTTGGAGCAACCTGGTCTGGTGGGAGGTGTCCCTGCCTATGGCAGGGGGTTGGAACTGGATGATCTTTAAGGTCCCTTCCAACTCTAACCATTCTATGATTCTATGATCCATGAAACCAAGGTGGCCACATCAATCCTGGAGAAGAGGGAGGTGCAATCCCTCACCCTCCTCTCTGCAGGACAGCCCTCCTGTCACAGAAGTGGTACCCGTGCCAGGGCCAGGAGCATGGGTCCTGCTTTTATCAGGATGTTCCCAGGCGCAGCTAAACACAGAGATAAGTGGTGGGGCAAAGACGGGAGCTGAAAGCCATCACTGATGAGCCCTAGGCTCCGTGGCACAGTAAATCGAGCTCGGCTAAAGCAAGCAAGCTCCGTGACCTGCGCCGAAGCCTGCCAGTTATCAGCCACCGCAGCTATAGCATGCCCAGATCAAAACCGTCCTTATCTCGTGCCCCACGTTGGGCAGCAATCAAAAGGACCGTTGGATTGATCATGGCTGGCTGCCAGACCTCCACCCAGAGGCTTTCCCACTCCCCCTCCTCAGCGGGACAGGGGGAGAAAATAAGATGGAAAAAACCAAAATCTTGTGGGTCGAGATAAAGACACATTAATAAGAAAAGCAAAAGCTGCGTGGGCAAGTAAAGCAAAAAAGAGGAATTCATTCACAACTTCCCATCGGCGGGCAGACGACCAGCCACCCCCTGGGAAGCAGGGCCTCAGCACACATAACAGAGGCTCAGGAATAACCCTCCTTTCCCTGAGCTTTTATCAAAAAGGATGTGCAGCCTCTCGTTTGTGTGCTGTTTGCTGTGTGAAGCTCTGCAGATCGGAGCAGAGGGTCGGGAAACGTCCTCTTGGAAGGGACCCCACAGTGAATGAACGTCTTTCTTCGTGTGTGTGTGACAGGGGGGGCTGTGTGTGCTCCTGTGCAGGCTGGTGGGTCTCTGCTAGGGAAGAGATTTAGCATCAGAGAGCAGAGCTGGGCCATGGGAATGCTGCCCGCAGGGTTGGTGGCCAGCAGAGAGCAGTGTGGGTTTGCTCAGTCATTCAGTTCTTCTTTGAGGGACTCTCCTGGGGTTTATTTCCAAGCCTGGAGCTCACACCGTCCCTAGATGGACATTTCTGTTCGTGTTGGCCAACGAGGTAGGGGTATATCATGGATCATATCCCAGGCTGCTGTGTGTAGGTCAGGCACTGCTAAGGCTGTGGATCTGCATATGCCAGGATGTTTCACAAGAACTTCTCAGGAAATTGTATCTTGAATCATAGGATCATAGAATGGTTAGAGTTGGAAGGGACCTTAAAGATCATCAAGTTCCAACCCCCCTGCCATGGGCAAGGACACCTCCCACTAGACCATGTTGCTCAAAGGGTTTGTATGCATCAGAAAAGAGGGACATTTGCATCTTCTTCTTGTTCCCAGCCCTGACTTGCAAGATCTGCTTGCAAAAGAGTCCAGACCCATGATCTGGAGGGAAACAGGCGTCAGGTGGTGTGGAATGAGGCAATATTTGTTCCTTTAGGCCAAAGAGCACCAGATAAATTGCTGGTGGATCCTGAGCAGTGAGACAGCAGGAATGCATTCCTCCTGGAAACATTGCTACAAGTACATCGCGCAATGCGTAGCTGAATGTTTGCTCAGCGCTCCTTCCAGGTCTCCATGGGAAGAAAATGTTAGTGATTTACGTAGGTGGCTACTTATCAGGGACTGGGGTAGGAGCGGTGTCAGGGTCTGTGCCGGGAGCTCTGCTCTTGGGAAGGCGGCCAGAGGTGCTGGAGGAGATGAATCACCAGCTGCACCTCTGGGACTGCAGACCAAACGCGTTAAATGCAGTGTGCAAACAGAACAAGGTCGCTCCCTACACGGGGTTTGGTGACGGGCCCACAACAATCTGTGCTTTTCGAGGCACAGCATGCATTTTCCAGGGGGCTGCTGAGTGTTTGGTTTGGTTTTATACAGCCTGCTCTACATGCAGCTTGGGTTTGTGTCTGTGTATTCGATTTCAGATGTGAAGCAGGAGCAAGAAGGGGGTACTTTGTCATTTCCAGTGAGCTGTGGGACTGGATTTCCACGTGGACAGTGCTCCAAAGCAGCCAGGAGCTTGAGCTCATCTGAAAATTTCCCCAGGTATTTTGAAATCCTCATGGGATATAAACTTTTTGGAGGATCTGCTCCAGAGAATAACTTCTGGTTTACAGAGGTTTGATTCTGTCACTTTCTTTTTCCTCCTGAAAATTGCAGGAAGATTTCCATGAGAACCAAAAAAAAAAAAAACCAACGCAAAGCAGAATTCCAGGATCCTGCTAAAGCCTCTGCTTCACTCTCAAAAAGTGTGCTGGAGCTGTGCTGCATGGTTTCTCACACCTCCTGGCTGAGGAACCCGGTGGTGGAGGTGCAAAGCTACAAAACCAAAATCTGGCTCCACAGCAAGGAAGTTACAAGGGTTACTTACTGGGTCATCTGAAAAGATGGTTGAATCAGGCAGGTGTTTAACCCCAGCCAGCAACTAGGACCACACAGCTGCTTGCTCACTCCCCTCAGCTGGGATGGGGAGGAAATCAGAAGAGTAGAAGTGAGAAAAAAAACCCATGGGTTGAGATAAAGAGAATTTAACAGGTAAAGCAAAGCCATGCACACAAGCAAAGCAAACCAAGGAGCTGATTCACTGCTTCCCACAGGCAGGCAGGTGTTCAGTTGTCTTCAGGAAAGCGAGGCTCCATCACACGCAATGGTTTACTTGGGAAGACAAAATGCCGTAACTCTAAACGTCCTCCCATTCCTTATTCTTCCTCCAGTTTTATATACTGAGCATGACGTCATATGGTCTGGAATATCCCTTTGGACAGTTGGGGTCAGCTGTGCCAGCCATTTCCCCTCCCAACTTTTTGTGCACTCCCAGCCTACTCGCTGGGGGGAAGGTGTGAGGAGCAGAAAAGGCCTTGACTGCTAAGCAACAACCAAAGCCATCAGTGTGCTATCAACATAGCTCTCACCCCAAATCCAAAACTTAGCACAGTACCAGCTAGTAAGAAAGTCAACTCTATCCCAACTGAAACCACGACAGCAGGGAAATGTTGTTTTTCATAGAATCATGGAATTGTCTAGGTTGCAAAGCCATCAGTGTGCTATCAACATAGCTCTCACCCCAAATCCAAAACTTAGCACAGTACCAGCTAGTAAGAAAGTCAACTCTATCCCAACTGAAACCACGACAGCAGGGAAATGTTGTTTTTCATAGAATCATGGAATTGTCTAGGATGGAAGGGACCTTTAAGATCATCTAGTCCAACCATCAACCTAACTCTGATTAAAAAAAACCATCACTAAACCATGTCTCCTCCAATCTCATTCAAAGGACAAACTGAAGCAGTTCTGCTGAACGTTTTGAAAACAGTTCAGCCCACAGAGCTGAGACATGGAGTGGAAATACTCAGCAGCTGCAGTTAAAAAGCCTTGAAACCCAGGATCATAGTGTGGACTGAGTAGGTCACATGTGGACATGTCAGGGGCATTGGACTAGATGATATTAAAGGTCCCTTCTAACCTAAACCGTTCTGTGATCTTGGTGTAGATTGTGCAGAGTGACCCCAAGTGTTGGCTCCTCATATTATGAGTAGATTTTGCAAAAGATCGACACTTTTGGGGTTTATCAGAGGAGGGAAGTTCAGACAAATGTCAGTAGTGCAGGGTGTGCAACGTGCAATAGGTGACAACAGTGTCTTTCTACATGTCCCTCTGGTGGGATTGCTGTGGCCTGTCCTGCCCTCCAGTGCCTGTAGCACCGTCTCCCTCTGTCCTTTCTCCTCTCTCTCTTACCTCCACCTACACACGCACTCAAGGGATGCTGTGTGGCTCTGAGCAGGTACCAGGAGCTGCAGATCTCCGGGGCCACCATGGGTGCAGAGCCAAGCTGCAGTGGTGAACATCAGGAGAAGCCCTGTGAGGAGGTGGAAGTTTCTCACCAAACCCACAGGGGTGGAAGACTTCTTATCAAACAAAAAAGTCAAAGCCATTTCCTTCCAGCTGACACATCCAGGGCTGCATTTTACCTCAATGTTCAAAAAACTGCAGTTGAAACTTTCCGCAGCAGGCAGCCACCCTGCAGGGCCCAAGCCCTGGCTGTGCAGACCCATGTGCAGAAAGTGGCCAAGTGCCAGCCCCCAAGTGCACTGGGGATCAACAACCCCTCTGGAGGCCCAGACCCACACCCAACCACCCTCCCTCGTTTCTGTGTCTCCTCAGCCTGAATCATGATGACGGTCCTCCCTCTACACTCAGTGCCCAAAGCCTCACCTAAATCTCTTGGCCTTGCAGGACTTCCTCCGAAATATTCCCTCCAAACTCCTGTCGGCCGACCTCTACGAGAAGTGGATGCAAGCTCTGGAGAAGCCAAGCAAGCAGGAGAAAATTGAAGAATTGAAAGAGTAAGTTTTGCAACCAGGAAGTTTTGCAATCAGCCCCAGTGTGATGGAGCGGCTGGTAGAGGCTGGTGATGTCTCCCGAAATTGAAAGTCTCACTTAAAAGCCTGTCGTTTATATCAGCTTGCTATTGCTCCAGGGGGTTGGTTTAGAGGGCTCTCACAGCAGCATTTCCTGAAGTTATATGAGATTGCCCTACAACTGGGGTAGGAAGAGGAGAGGCTGCAGTGCCTCAGCCAAGGTAGTCACTGTGCTGTGGGACAGGCCCGACAGGGAGCCTTCACATCTGCTGGCGGTGAAGTTGGGCTGTGGAGACCACGGCTGAGTTTTGCTCTTTGGAAAGAGCAGATGTGGAGCCAGGCCAACTGGGAGGGCTTTGAAAGCTGCCCAGCACAACCACAGGCTTTCACGTGCCTCTGGGAAGCCTCCCGTGACATCTCCTGGTGCCATCTCATCTACTCAAGGATACGGACTGCTGTAGTGCTTGCCTTTCAGTCAAGATCCAGTCATTCAAGATCTCATAATTAACCACACGCTCAGCTGCCGTTGGGGATTTCTGAATGATACTTCTGCTGAGCAGTGAAGGGAGCACACACATCCCTCTCTCTGGAGGAAGTGTCATCGGTCTGAGTTTAATTGAGACTTGCTCAAATAAAGAAGTGGCGGCTGCTGCACCATGAATTAACGTCACATTTTGTTTGTCTTCACGCAGGGTGGCTGACAAACTGCCTCGGCCAAACCTCGTCTTGCTCAAGCACTTGCTGTCTCTGCTCCACCACATCAGCCAAAACGCCGAGACCACCAGGATGGACTCCAGCAACCTGGCCATCTGCGTTGGCCCAAACATGCTGAGCCCAGAGACAGACAACACGCTCCCGCTGGAAGTGCAGAAGGAGATGAATGACAAGGTGTGTTGAGCTCACCGAGCTGCCACCCGCTTTGGGGCAGCTCAGAGACACCCACAGGGATCCCACCACCCTTGCAAAAGCTGAACAGAACAGCACCCCTGGGCATCGGGGGTGTCCCTCAGCTCAGGTGCCTGCAATGTGATTGGCAAGGCTGCCCTCCTCTTGTCTCTCTGAGCAATGGTAGCAGTTGCCCTGCAGTCCCTTACGTTGTACCACAGCTCCTGAATGTTTTGCCTGCAGAGAGCAAGGGGCACCCGGTGGGCACGGCCACCCAGGGGTCCTCTGGGCAGTGAGGCTGAAGCTGGGGCAGATGGGGGTTTGTTTGTACCAGGGCAGATCAATTTGTCTGCAGCACCTGTGTGCAGGTGGTGGTGTTGGTGAACTTCTTCATAGGCTCAGAAACATTTGGGGAGGACAGTGCCTTGTCTGCCTGGTCCTCAGCTGATGTGTCACCAGAGCACCCAGACAGCTCCATGGGTATGAGAATGGACTGAGGATGTCACAGACTGGGGCTGCTGCGCCAAGTTATTTAATCTGATATGGAAATACATCTGTGGAAACACAGAGTTGCAGAGAATTCAATATGTTACTGCATCTTTTTTTTCCTACACGAACACTTTCCAGAAGTTCAGAATGACAGCACTCCCAGAGCAAAATTAAATCCCGATGTTAAACATCTGCCTCAGGCACATTCTGTTACAGGTGTGCTGATACCTCAAGGATCTTTCTGGCAGGGCTCAAAACAGAGCATCATTCTCCTAACATAACAGATCCAGGGGTCTCTGTTTCATCACTGCTTCTCAGGAGGAACAGGCTATCAGAAGAAAGACACGTTTTCAGCATAGCTGATATCCTATCAGTGTCCCTTTTTGCACTTGCCTTATCAAAGTGAACTCCTCCAAGAGCTGTTTATTCTTCCAAGGTTACCTGGAACTCAAAGGTCTGGGTGCTGGCTCCAGAGGTCTGTGGAGTGAAATGTCCTTTCAGGAACTGCTTTCACGATCAGCAGCAGACGTTACAGAGAACACGGCAGGAGAGCATTCACAGATGTCTGTTGCAGTTTTAAACTGGGTTTTGAGTTTTGGTTTTGGCTTCACAAAGATAATTTTACCATTCATTTCTTGGATCATTTTTGCCTTAGTGAATGGTCACAACGAAGTCCTGCAGCCTTTGCTTTCTAGACCTCCATTCAGAAAAGCAGCAAGAGAGGTGCATATAGAAAGTCAGAAAGGTGCTTTTCTGGACAGACAACCCTATCCTTTCTCCACCCAAGCAGAAAGAGGAGGAGATGTGCCCATACAAGTAATAAGTGGGACCCTGACCCAGATGTAAAGGTGGGGAATCTCAGTAAAAGAGGCAGGAGGTGAGAAACCCAGCATCTCCTGGCAGATTCCATCTGGCTCTTGCAAAGCAAGTGTGTTCCACCAACGATGTTCATACTGTAATGACTGCAGCAAATGAAAATAACCCACAAAATCCTGTCACTCATCCTCAATTAAAAAAATACTTTTTCTTCCTTCCTTCCTGACGAATTCTTACAGCTATTGAGACAGAATTCCTTCCATGGTTGATGGCAGAAGTTGAAGAAACACTAGAGAGGAGATTAATGTTGAAAAATCACTACTACATAGACCTCAGTAATGGATTCTCAGCTGAAATAATGAAGTGTCAGCCATGCTGCATTACCCTCTGCTGAATTTATACTGTTTGAGGTGTGTTCATGCTGGCAGATGCAATACATTTGGCAGAAGCAGAATGGTTAAAGAAGACCAATTCTTTTCTCTGCTATAAAACTTTTATTTCTCATGTGTTACACAGCCATGATGGCTGTGCTGTTCTCTGATTCTGCAAGTGGGAACAGAAAAGCTTGTCCTGTCTACAGCCACACGTATACCACTGAAGTCTCTTAACTCATTTGTGTGAGCTCCCTGAGCTACGGAGTAGTATGTTCATCCTACATAAAAGGAGAAGATAATTGTGGGCCATGGTTGACTGAGACGTCAGGTGACCAACACTTTTCATCAAAACAAGGGCTTACCTCCTCAGAGGTCAATAATCATGTCCTTGTTTTTGAAATAGATTAAAATATGACCTGTCTTTTGGGCTAATTCAAGCTAAAGATTCAGGCCCTTTTATTAGTCAGTCTTCACAGGCTGCACTTGAAACACCTGAACAATCTAAACTCTGTCTTGTGTAGAAACACAAAATTATGATGAATGTATGTCCACTGTGGTGGTCTTAGACCAAACCACTTCTTATACTTGTATTACGTCTTTCATTCCTATAGTTTTCCTCCTGCTGTGATCTTTGGTTTGAATTACAATTGTGTTTGTTTCCTTTGTGTTTATTTTCAGTTTAATGAGGACCCTGAATTTTCTTTGTTAAGGTATCATTCGGATAATTACAGCTGGTCTGTTAGATATTCTAGCCTATGATATATGTGCTGGTATGTACACTTAAGGATCACTTCTTCATGTAGGTCTTCAGACAGGAGGGAATTTTCTCTCCCTTTAATAAGAAGTGTTGTACTTTGAATAAACATCTCAATGACAATGTTCCTGTAGGATATACTGTTGATGAGTATCTCCAACATATTCCTATTAATGTAATTTCTTACAGCTTTCACAACCAGATACACCGTATCTGGGCTGCGCAGAGAAGCTGGAACATGCTAACAAACACCACCAGCCTGCCTCCGTTTTGTTCTTCTATATTTGCTGCCTCAGCTGATCAATGCCTGGCTCAGGCTGGAGGGAAGCTCAGGAGGTCTGTCATCCTGCTGACCCTCCCACAGGTGCTGGGGGGCTTCAGTTAGTCTCCACTGAAGTCACCTCAGCCCCAGGCTGAACCAGTCCTGGTCCCTCAGCCTCTCCTACAGGACAAGTGCTCCAGCCCTGACCATCCTGGTGGCCCACTGCTAAACTCACTCCCATTGATGAGAATTCCTTCCTTTTGTGCAAAACCCCACCCATCAATTACCAATGGAGCTTTTCGAAGCAGCTCTTAATTGTCTTATTTTCTTTATTGAGTCCCTCCACCTTCACTGGTGGCCTGTTTAATTTGTCTTATTTATTACTCAAATTATGTATTTCAAATTGGGAGTTGAATTGTTGCCATGTTCATTGATTTGGAAGGGCTACGAGGTTTGAAATACTTACAAAGTAATATAGAACAGGTGTTCAACTGCTTTACAGGTGCACTAAATAATTTTGATGGCTACCTTCGTTCTAACATTTCCTACCACCAAAACAGAACAGGTGTTCAACTGCTTTTCAGGTGCACTAAATAATTTTGGTGGCTTCCGTGGTTCTAACATTTCCTACCACCAAAATACACCTAGAACAGGTGTTCAACTGCTTTACAGGTGCACTAAATAATTTTGATGGCTACCTTCGTTCTAACATTTCCTACCACCAAAATACACCATGCTGCATACAGGCAGTGTCCTGGTTAGTCCTTGCTGCTGGCATGGAGCATGGTCATTATATGGTTTTGTCAGAAAGAATCACACTTCGGGAAATACAACTTAGCGAAATACTCCAATTGGGATTAGCTATTGAAATTGGACTTGAAGAAGATTAAAACTGAATTTACTGTCTATTACCAGCAGATGTCAGTGACACCATGCTGCATACAGGCAGTGTCCTGGTTAGTCCTTGCTGCTGGCATGGAGCATGGTCATTATATGGTTTTGTCAGAAAGAATCACACTTTGGGAAATAAAACTTTGTGAAATCCTCCAACTGGGATTAGCTATTGAAATTGGACTTGAAGAAGATTAAAACTGAATTTACTGTCTATTACCAGCAGATGTCAGTGACAACACTAAAGCAAAGCACACTCACCTGTGTGGTTGAAGTCTTCCCTCAGAGGCAGGCCTGCACACCCACCCATTGTCCACAGTTTGCACCATGGCCACGGGCGGTTGACGTTGCAGGCATTAATTTCGTATTTGTCACGGGGAGCTTATTCAGTGTAAAGCCCTTCCTAGCATTGTTCCTGCTTATCATGCATTTTGAGTTGTGTAATATTCTTGCCGGAATCTCCCTAGGTTGGATGGAGACAGGCTTGGGGACTGGACTTCCCCAAACCTACAGCCGTGGGAGTGACTGGGAGACCAGCGTCAGGCTCGCTGATGCAGCCTGGCGAGGTACCAAAAAACATGTTTTCCATAGCTGCAGGTCAAAATCAAAACAGGCTGAGAGAGCTGGGGTTGTTCAGCCTGGAGAAAAGAAGGCTCCGGGGAGACCTTATAATGGCCTTCCAGACCTGAAGGGGCTACAGGAGAGATGGGGAGGGACTCTTGATCAAGGAGCGGAGCGATAGGGCGAGGGGTAATGGTTTTAAACTGAAAGAGGGGAGATTTAGATTAGATATTAGGAAGAAATTCTTTCCTGTGAGGGTGGTGAGACGCTGGAACAGGTTGCCCAGAGAAGCTGTGGCTGCCCCATCCCTGGAGGGGTTCAAGGCCAGGCTGGATGGGGCTTGGAGCAACCTGGTCTGGTGGGAGGTGTCCCTGCCCATGGCAAGAGGGTTGGAACTCAATGATCTTTAAAGTCTCTTCCAACTCTAACTATTCTATAAATCTATGAAAAACCTGAAAACTGAAATGGTAATATAATTCTACCTTCTGACTTTTTCCAAAATGGTTGCAGCAGGAAACAGAGGAGTAGGCTCTTCCTATAGAGATCCATCATGGGGCTTGAAGTTGCTGATACTGAGGGGATGCCAGCAGCCACCCTCACTTCCTTGCCCGAGGCCGGTGGAGGGGACAGATCCAGCCAGGATGGGCCCGAGGGCTGCCAGGGTGCTGGGAAATGACTAACAACAGGAAAGCTATCGTCACATCTGCCTCTTCTGCCCTGACAGCCTTGCACGGGCATCTCAGCAGGCAACAGTGATGGCTGATGTTCCTGAAGCTCTTCTGGTTCAGAGCGTTACCTGCCACGTGTGCCAACCCAGCAGGCCAGATCTCAGTCTGACACTGGGATGTCAGGAAGCACCTGCTCC